CATCAAAATCACGATCATCTGTTGGTTCAGTTCAACTATCTCCTAATAATTATGTTAACTCTCACAATCAGTCATGCAATCATTGTGATCAAAGTCGTTATGAAATATGTAATGTAAACAGTTCAACTTGTCAATGTCCTCCATTCACATATTGGAATAATGGAATGTGTATGACACAATTGTTTCAAGGTCAACTATGTTCAAATACATATGCTTGTCGGACGGATCTCAATCTTTCATGTCAACCAAGTTGTGACTTTACTTATCGATGCTCTGCTTGTAAGTCATTTTTAAGTACATTTCTACAAATGATGCTACTGATCTAATATTTCAAAAACACTATGGAAATATATGAGATAAGAATAGTTCTTAAATCGTTCTTTTAATTGTAGCTCCAGTCGTAGGCATTGGTTTGACAGTTGCTGGCTTTTGAAATGGCAGTACAGATACAGGTACACTTGGCGTGATGGGCCCTTGGGGTATCTATGTTTCACCATTCGATGGACTTCTGTACGTAACCAATTATGATGTGCCTCGATTTCAATCGTTTTTACCATTCTCACGTATTGGATCGACGATTCTTTCCAACGGACTCAGTTAGCCTGAGGATATATTTGTTGACAGTTCACATAATATATACATGACTGAACTCACCATCGGTCAAGGTATAATGTACATTCAACGACCAGGCATGAATCTCACAAGCTTTCCAGCAATAGGTCAATCAGACTCATCCTGTTCTCTGACAGGATTATATGGAATTACTGGTGTAGTAGTTGATCAATTTAATAATATTTATGCAACATTGTCTCGTTGCTTTATAATCATAAAATGGGTACCAAATAGTACTGCAGGTATACTTATTGCTGGAAACCCAGGATATTATGGCACTGATAGTAATTCATTAGATTGGCCTCATTTCATGGCTTTAGATGAAGTTCGAGGAGCCTTGTACGTCGCCGACAGTACCAATAATCGCATTCAGAAATTCATAATAGGCGGCAACGAAACAGGAATAAAAGTAGCAGGTGGAAATGGAGCAGGATTGAATCTTAACCAATTGAGTGATCCGTGTGGTGTTTGGGTGACACGAAATGGTCAAACTCTTTATATTGCTGATAGTAACAATAATCGTGTGATGCGATGGAATCTTGGAGATACACAAGGATCGGTTGTGGCTGGTAGTGCAACTGGTGTTGCGGGCAGTACTAATACACTTCTTTCGAATCCAGGTGATGTGGCACTTGATCCTACTGAAACATATTTATATGTTTCCGACTATTCTAACAATAGGGTGCAACGGTTTGTTCTTCAATGATCTTTTATAAACTAATTACTTTAATTGTAACTATATAAGCCTGCTTTACATAATCAATGTGCGTTTTTGTTATTTTTGTTGTTGTGTAGTGAAAAATTGTATACAATAATATAATAAATTGACATATATGAAAGAGTATTTTGTAACTATGATAATTTGCGGAAAAGTTCTATAAATTTCAGCTGATGATCTATATCCAGTTAAATTTGGTAAATGTAATATGAAATATTTTCACTTTGAAAATAAAAAATTAGTCATGTGATTCAAATTTTGAGAATAGAATAGTATCATACAGAAAGAATCGTTTTTTTATTCAGTTATTAACAGTGTTATAATTTAATAGGTTGAAAAAAAGAGACTATGAACGTATAAAACCTTGTAAGATCAAATGACGAATATATTGATAAAATTATATAGTTGAGCAAGAAGATCAAAACAAATGCCATAAAAGATATGTGCATATTTATCTTTCTATGTCCGACAGATTTTCTGTTTTAACTTAGGCGAATACCTATTCCAGACAAGCATAGAATGTAAACATGAAGAGCAAAATCCATATCCGGCTTGAAGTCGGAGCTTCTCAGTTCTGATAAGGATAACTATCGTAGGAACTGTTCGTCTCATAGATGATTTTACTGAGATCTGTTCATAAATTTAAAATCATCTCTTCTATTTTATAGAACTAGGTGCAAGTGTAGGAGAAGCAGAGATCAACACCCACATCCACATCCGTCATCTTTTTCAACTATACTTTAAAAATAAAAATACACGAATCGCGTGATAACCATTGTCACAAACAAAACTTGTTTCGCTCGAAAGAATCTATATTAAAAATCTCTCTTTCATCAAAGAAAAAACTAAGTTAATTCCTTTTAAAGTAAATACCAATTTCGAACAGATTCTTTTGAACTAAAAAGAATAAAACAATTTTAAACTTATTTCTCCGAATTTGAAAGGAATAAAACAAAACTAAAGACAATTATATACTACTCTTCTGCATGTATAGGTCGAGTATGATTTACAACGTGTTATTACGCTCGAAATAAACTTAGTAACGACTCACCAATCATGCTTAAAATAGATTTAGTAGGATTTGTCGAATTCTCGCAATTAACGGCGAAGATTCTATGTTTGACACTGAAATCTTTGTCGTCAAATCATGAGCTATCGATCATTCAGATGTTATTTATAACAATGGCTTATCGGTTTTCGATAATACATTACAATGCATTGAATTCTATTAAGTATTTTGCCATGTTCGAACATTTCTGATGTAACACATTGCAATGCATTGATTAAAACTAAATCTTAAAAAGCTTTAGCATTATTTCTGAATAAAGCATTAAATTTCAAGAAAATTCAATGGATGTGTTATATTAGCCCGAGATTTTTTCTCATTCAAAATAAAATATATTTGAATGCGAATTTCACTGGTTAAATGACTTTATTTCAATAAGAGATACTCTTTCCAAAGTTAGAATATATAATTCATAACATGATTTTTCACTTCTTTTTCTTAAATAATTTTATTGTACTGGTAACATGATAACTAATTATTCATACAATCTATCTTATAGAAATATATGATGAAAAGTTATTAATCATATTATTGAAATATTAATATTAAGCAGTTTGCTAAATGAACATTGGATAGCTGAATACTATTACAATATTGTCTTATTATCATTCATACAAACTTTCGAGAAATATCAATTATTTGTCGTACTTTTTATTAAATTTTAGTCTATTGTAACTTCATCTAGAAAATCTTTATTAAAAAGTCTAACGAAGTTTAGACAAAAAAAGTATCTATAAATCGATAATTTCAATCGCGCGGTTAACTCTTTGCGAGCAGCATTTTTTGAGATAAAACTGCGTCTGATACACAACACAGAAACACGCTCAGAAATATGAGTGCGTGCCAATGCATTACATGTTTTTCAGAAACTTGTTGAGACGCACATCATTTTTTTTCTAACTGCGCCTCAACACGTTTCGTATTGACAATGCGTCTTACGACTGTTCTTAACCGCGTCTAAACATGTTTTACTGTGAAAATGCATTTCAACGCATCGATTTTGCGTTTCACGATTACATGGGTTATGCAGTATTACAATATTGTTTCTAAATAATGCATTAAAATACTTTGAAAGATTCGAGGGGATAGCTGTCGAACATTATTTTTAAATAAAACATTAAAATGCACTAAGAAATGAAGTACACAGCGTCTAAACATTATTTCTAAGTGATGCATTATCGACCAAGTCTACATTATTTCTAAATAGAACATTAAAGTGCATTTTTTAAATGCATTATATAGTGTTCGAACATTATTTCTAAATAGTGCATTATCATTTATGAAAAAAAAAGTACTCGTAAGATAATGCACAATAATGTGTGATTTTTACTTTATTTATCCATTATAGGGTGCATGGGATATTGTGTTACTCGAAAAAATTAATTATTGTTTTTGTTTCCTATCAATCAACTATTTTGAGTGTTTAACGAATGTGCTTGAATTATTTTATATTTCGAAATTTTTACCTTTTCCCATCTTGTTAACACGCTTTGGGTTTTGTAGGTTTCTTTAATTTAGAATTATCCTGTAGCATTGATTATTTTTACTCGATTTATTAGTTGAATTTCCAACTAATTTATTTGTTGATTAATAATCACATGTACGCATATATGAATCTTGTAGCCAATACATACTTAATTGTAAAGAAAACTGCACTGTTAAGTATTAATCGTTTCAGAGTTGAAGAGTTCCTGCTCGACTAAATGTCATTTTAAATAACGATCTTGTAAAATTATCAGGAGATAAATTAGAAAAAATAGAAGTTATCACTTGTTTCATAATACAGTTATAAAGTCTTTTGAAAATTGTATATCTCTGCTATTGAAATTTGCTGTTTCTCTTGCATATAAACGAAAAAAAGATAGTCTGAAATCTAAATCTCTTCATTTACTCAAATTTTACATCTTTTCAACTTGTTCAGTTTACTTATAATTTTATACAAAACTAATTTGATGAAAACTAGAATTTTGAGTTGGACTGATTACCAGTTTTAACCACGGCATTTATATTGTTAAGAAAAAAAACAACTATGTTTTTCAATTTATATTCTCTTCAACATCTAATGCTCTTTTCTAAGAGACGTTGGCGTTTTGTTCAAGTAAAGTAATAAAAATAGTCCATTATTTTCTATAAAAATCGTTTAACACTTAAAATATTAACTATCACAATAACTATTTTTTTTCTACACTGCCTCACCCATAAAATTATATGTTATTTCTTCAAATAGTTTTCCATATATCATCAT